CATGGGAATTAAAAACATATCAAACCTCAGTGATAAGTCTGCTATCAGCTAGTCAGCTTTCATAGAAAGCAAGAAGTTAAAAACACCAAATATGGAGCAAATAACATAAAGTGTTAATAAAGAATGAAAGCATACTATTATTTGAAATATGACACTGTCCCTAGAAACCTTAAATACCTGCTTTGCCTGCAATTTTAAGGGTCAGCCATACAAAATAATATATACAATTAAGGCTGACTTGGCTTTAAAAATATTTTCCACTTTCCTCTTAAAACACTTAGAAGGCAGTTATTAAAACATGTAAAGTTTTTAAAAGTTTTTTTTTTAAAAAAAGATGGGAGTAAGCAAGAGCACTATTGACTAAAGACTGTTGCTATGGAACCTTGAACATGACTGAATGAAATGAATGGAGACTGTTCAGTAGCAAAACCAGATGGCTGGAACCAGATGGGCCAGTATCCTGCACAAAATTAAAGATCTATGATTAACTGCAGTTTCATCAGCAATTAAAGTGTGTATACAGCAACAGAACTTGAAAGTAGGTTGCTAAGTCATCACTTGAAACTGCTGGAATGAAAATCTGAAAAATATATCAGTTCAAGCCATCTTCTACTGCCTGCATTACAGCTCTGTACAAATTAAGATATTTAGGAGGAAGAAAAGCTTGCCTTTATTCACAGGTGTCTATGTGTTTCATGCAGTATTTACCCAGAACATTTCAAAGCTGAACTTGCTTGGTCAATCTTCCCATGACCATCATTCCCAACTACCATAATCACTTTATGGACCTTTCCTGATGTAGGAATATTTAACAGGAAACTCCGTTCCAGTGCTGCAACAGGATAGTGGGGGAAATGTTAACTCTCTTACTCAACAGCTTATGTCAGCACACCCACACAGAAATATCACAGTGCAGAAAGATGACCATTGCTGAACACAAACAAGCTTCCAAAATGTACCAGTTAAGGCAATGGAAACTTTTATTAGTGAATATTTGGTATTTCATTCTAAACTTATTTGGTATTTCATTCTAAAATTATATAAATCCTGTTTTTCTTACGGCTTCAACATTACTCCACAGAGTGCAATAACCTCAGATAAACACATTTAGCTGGATGGAAAACAACTGCCTTGTATTATTATCATGCTTCAAAATACATATTAAAGGAGCTGCCAACAAGAGCAAGCAACAGTATTGGGCATCTTAAATGAAAAGTGAGACTGATGCTTGTTCATTAATCTTCAAGCAGCACCTAGTCAAAGCTGTTTTTATCCAACATATCCTTGTTGGATATGCCACCTATCCAAGGATCTCATACTTCCACAGAGCTGGTGAACATCCAACATGCAGTTTATCACAGCCACAGATCAGCAGCAAAACCAATTACTAATAGAAAAGCAGTCATTCTGAATGGTGGTGGGTTATATGGGCCTTACCCTATCCTTTGCTTTTTTTATTAAAAAAAAAAAAAGCATAGCAAACATCAGTTTACCAAGTACATCACCTAGCAGAGAGGGGCAGGGAGTGGAAATTTGCTATACCAGTCCTCTGTGATATTATGAGGATTAATTCTATCACCCATACTACTGAATAGAATCTAACTATGGCAAATGCTCTTCTTGTTATTCCCAATAACTCTCTTCAGGACAGGGCACACAGAATCAAAGGTGAAATATGTTCACTATTCTTGAAGTTAAAAGGTCTGCATGCTTTGCAAACCATTTGCAAAGAAAGAATGTGCAGAGGTCTTTACAGTTCAGTGTTCCTCTGAAGTCAGGCTGTAAAAGTAGAGGTCACCCCTTAGCCTTTCCAACTGGTGCCTTAGAACAATAACTGTATCAGTAGCGGTAGAATGTGATCACAGGTAGATGCCTGACTCAGATCAGTTTGTCATTTCATTATTAGCCAATGCAACTAAAGTGATATGTTATTTCTAACACCTAAATCAAATGCACTACAATGATAAGCAGAAAACAGTATGAAAAGAAGTTATATTTAATTAAAGTGTTTTATATCCATGATACTAAATATATTAGCTGTGAAAAGGAATCTTAATTACAGTTTTTTAACCCTTCTAACATCTGCAAGAAACCATCTTCCAAGACAGATCACAATGTATAGAGGTGCACAATGAAAGCAATCTTATTAGAGACTGTTTATGAAAGATAAAACAAATCTATTAATTTCACACATGCTTTTTTAAACTCCAAAGGCAAATCACGGTATTATTCTTTTCAATGTAAGATTACAATGATAATACAAAACAATAATTTTGTGAAAGCAAGGAAGAAAAACAGAGAAGTATCTGTAAGAAATAAGTAGATTACTGTTATTATTTTTAAAAGGGATAAAGAAAGAACAGTGTGTTTCTAGAATACAGTATTATTTTACTTCTGAGACATTTCAATCAGAGCACCAAGATAGAGGTTAGTGGTACAATGACTAAAAACTCTTTGTTAAGATTCATGTTCTTATTTTCAAACTTCACAATGGTGTAGGAGTTATTATTTTGGATTACAGGTATTCAATTTTTCATATTCTGTTAATCACAATAACCTAAGCACCACTGTGGCAAGTCCCAGTGAAGTGAATCCAAGGCAATATATATGAAGGCAATGTTCTCAGTTTCTTGTTGCGTATCACCACCACATATGAGCAACGTGTGTATGTTTCAACTCTCAATATAAAAAAATCTCATGGAAGGCTGGTGAGGGTGAAGAGGCATCTAGCAGCAACTTAAAATTGGACAGAAATGAACCAAAGCAGCTAGTTCAATTTTGGTTCTGAATTTATTGTTGCTGTGAACTGCTACACCTCAATCAATAAGAGAAACTGAACAGGGGGCAGGTGGTCAACCCATGAGTTTTTCAAGGGGAAGTCAAAATGCATTCATAAATGGAAGTTGGCACAATATTCTACTTGGTTAAAATGAAAACTTTTGCAGTTTACAACACAGTATTTTGAATAATTATCTTCAGTTTGTAAAATACATATGAATGATAAAAATTTAAAGCACTGCTGGTGAAAATACTGGTTTGGATCCAAAGCACCACAGCATAAATTGAACTGCTGCTTGCATTGCTCTGCAAACACAAAGAAAGCAGTTTCCAGACTGCTGTAAGAGGCAAGTTCACAGCAGTTCCCATGCTTCCTCTGGCACGTGTAGAAAGCCATCTTTGGTTATATCATGCAACACTATACATGCTTACTCAGAAATAAGCCCCATTATAATGAGTAGTGGTTATTCCCTAATAAACTGGGAAAGATTGTAGCCTCTGAATGCAGTCTTATGCCTGTCTTGTCAGCACTGCCCCATTGTGTTCAATGGGGCTTTCTCCCTGGCAAGCATGTACTGGCTTGGATCCTTAGTTTTCCTTTTCTTGGGAACTTATTAGGGTGAGGCTAAAACACTGCTTTTGGGAACATAACATTCTTTATCCCACACGTGGAAGGGCATATTTGGATCCAACCTATTTTGGCCTGGTGCTATAACACTGTAATATGACAAACATACAAGTACTGTAAGACTTTAACAACAAAAGACCACATTCTGGAAGATGGCAAGCCACTTCCATATTACCGCCCAAAAGCTGCATGGATGCATCTGTGAAGTCACCAGGAGCTCAGCTCAACTTGAAGGAGTCTAAAGTAGCATGATTAGTAACACAAACAGAACAAAAAGCCCAGAAGACAGGCCCAATATCAAGGGGTCACAACTCCAGACTTAATTTGGAAAAATGTGAGCTGAGAAGTGGCTGGAAGGGAAGAAATTAGAAAAGAGAAATGGCACTGGTCAACTGCAAGGCAACTTCTAAGGACTTCCTTCTGTTCTCGTAAAGCCTTCTCTAGCTACTGTAGTTTGTATTCTTTCCTGACAGGAAAGAGGACTATTAAGCTGGACTCTTCTTCAGATGCCTGATCACCAAGTGCTAACCTTAGCTTTGACTACACAATGTAACAAGTCAAAGTTTATATATTTGGTACTCAATCATTTGAGGGTATTTTAAGTAAGTTACACAGGTACTTCATCTGTCATAAATAATCCTATTTTAAAATTTAAGGATATTACCTTCTAATCTTAAGTGAAGTGGAGCCTAAATGGATGGCAGGGAGCAATCATAACCAGTTTAAATTTCTCACTAGTGAGAATAAATGAACGTGTCCAAATTTATTCTACATTAAAGCATACAGAGCAGCATTTGCTGGTGACAGTGTAGTGTATGCAACATGGAAAACGCTTTTGTTTGCATATCAGTTTATATATATTTAATTCATTAAAAATTATCACAGTCTTTTAAATAGCATATTAATTTTATATGAAAATATAAAATTGATGAATGCATCAAGAACTGTTTTAATTGCATTCATTTGATGAGTAGAATAGTTCTAAAAAGAGCAATATTCTAATTGTTTAAAAAAAAAAATACTGATATTTGGACAGGACTTGTAGGAAATAGGTGGTAGTGGTGATGGGTGAGAAAATTCCCAGCATCAACTTGTAAAAGCTGAATATAATGTTCAGGTGCCCGTGTACTAATGACAATACCAATTTATTCAGTACCAAACTATTATACCTACTCTCTTAGAGCTGACAGGCCTGCCCATGCAGCCTCTCCTCATTTATAGGCTTATTGCAATGAGTATCAACTCTGATGCTTGAGAGGTTCAATATGGCCACCACGTATGAGCTTAGGTGCATCATCTGTACGTTCTTATCTCACCAAAGGATCATGTACTGGTGTGAATTAACCACTGTTCTATTCAGCAAAGTCAAACACAGGTTGACCTTTTCCACTGATTTTTACTTGCTATGTTAAGATCACAACACAAACTAAACTACTGACTGGTTCAACACAATTAACAGAAAATGCAAGTAAACCATGTTGCTGTTGCCATGGAATAACAGTTGTAAGGATCAGTCTTTATAAAGCAGAGTTGTGTAGCTGACAAATCAACAGCTGCCCAAGTATGATCTTAAGACTGGATATCAGAAAAGACACTGTTTTAAATTATAACAGCAAATAAAATGGCACCAAATTGTAAGTAATCTAATTAATTAATCTAATTAATTAATTATACATTTAATATGCAACAGGCAGACTGATGTAAAATAAGCAAAACCAATGTGAAACTGTTGTTTTATTATCAGTTCCAGACTATTTTCAGGAAGCTATTTTAGTTTTAAAAATGTGATAAATTTATCTTTTGGGAGCATGTAGGGGACAAAAAGTACAATATCAACCATGACATGCAGCACTAATACAGTTCTCCATAAGAGCTTGATTAATACAATGAAGAGCACCAGTAAGTCGGGCAGGGACTTTGGCTTACCAGCTCTGCAGCTAGCTTGAGAAGTACAGTTATGGTGAAACCAAGTATGTGTTTAGCTGTCACCAAGCAGATACAAACACTATGGAAATCTAGGTCTTCTTAACAGGAAGAAATGTTTGTGGGGGGTGTCCCTTGGCTGGTTGAAAATGAATGCTTCTGGATGAACACTACTGGTTGGTTTTGCATTCTGTGCTAAAGGTTCTACGAAGGAAATCTAACCATGCATCTCAGGTCCTTTATATATGGGACAATTCTTTTATCCCTCTTGAGGAACAACAACAACAACAAAAAGCTACAATTAACCCACTCTCTAAATACACAGCTATGGCCGATCACAATAATAATAATAATAAAATAAAAATTAAAGGGCCAGCAACAAATAGAATACAGATGCATACCCGTGGCTTAAAACATATCAGTGTTGCTTCTTTTCATTCAGTATCTCATTACCACATGAACGGTACCCAAATTCTTTAATAATGTTAACATTTACAAGAGATTCGTTGCTGCTGCTGAGCATTGCTATAATCCTTCAAGCATTTATTTAGCACAACCACTGATTTTAATAGGCCTTGTGCAGAAGCAGTAGCACCATGGATTTCACTCAGAGTTTCTCCTCCTACTTAGTGATTGTTTGACATTTATGAAATGTAAATTTAGGGATCAAACTGAAAAAAGCCTGAAAGCTTCCAAAAATCAGTTCATTAGAAACTGTGTAGGAAAGGCAGAGGACAGAGTCCCTCTTAAAAGACAAAAAGAAAAGGAGGAGAAATTTTTAGACACCATTATCACAATCAATCTGCATTTAGTGTAGTCTACATTTCAGTGGAAATAAAAGATAGATTAAAGGCTATAGACATCACTTTTCAAAACTATTTTGAGAACCAGAATTTATATTATGTACAAATGTGTAGGTTTTTAAGACATTGTCAAAAGCTTAAGATATACTTAATAGTGAAAGCATGAACTGCAGAAATCCTATCAATAAATGCAGCAATGAACTCTGAAGAGCGCACTTAAAGAATGCACTTTGGAATGTGTCTATACACCTAAACAAACATATGCATACACCCTAGATATAGACTCCATTTACATATACAAGGTACACACTGGTATAAAATCAAATGCAAAAGAAAGCTTGATTAGCACTCTATGCTGGTCTACCTCACTACTCTGTAAATGAAGCTCAGGCAACTTTGGTCTTGATTGTTCAATCCTTGGAACTGTGAACACTCACTGCATTTTAAAATCAAGCCTATCCCAGCCCAGCCCAGTTCAGCCCAGCAAAGCCAACAGAATCCATGCCCAACAACATTTTTAGAACCCTTCCATTTTGCAAGAAGTAACTTTTAGAACCGTGTGCCTGGCATTTAGGATGGGACAAATAAACTTTTGAGAAAACTTAAAAGTTCATTCATACACAATGTGAAAATAAGTTGCTGTTTTATGCGGTGGCTACCAGGTGACCTTCAGGTTACTTCTCTAAGAATTGGCTAGGTTGGTTTTGCAGGGGAAGGTTTTGAAGGCATTTTGCTGCTTTGCCTATAGAATAATACAGGTTTTTTTATCCTTGAAGGGGTTTTCCGAAGCAGGTATACCCATTAGTAAAGGATCCTTCCTGGCATGTTCCTCACAATAGCACATTAGATCTGCTGATGCCTTGGACACCTGCAGAGGAAAAAAGGTGCAGAATTATAAATATTCCAAAGATGCTTCCTGGATCACTATAACTGGTAATAAAGTGCATTTGAATATACATTCATTGAATATGTGAATGAGTATGCAAAAAGTATTCTGTTGTCTTTTAGCTTTCGTTTATGGATTAGGCTTCAGTCATAAATAAACAAATTGCAAAATGAGAAGCCGTATTTATGCAGAAATGTAAAAGTTTATACAGTTCTTCTTAATAACTAAAAACAGCTCAGAAAATAAATGTAAAAACTCAACAATGAAGTAAGACTCTGTCATTTCCTCCTTTAAGCTAATAAAGACTGCTGTCAACTTGGAGCTTCTATGCTTGTTTATTTGGAAACAAGTCCCTCTGGGTTGTACAGGACTAACTACTAGGAAGCCTGATACAAGATTCAAAATAGGTATGCATTACTTTTCATTTTATGTTCTTCGCATATGCATTTTAAGAAATCTGGGGACATCTATGGCCTTCTTATCTTCCACAAAGAAATCACAGCCCTGGTGCTCTACAGGACTATGCTGATTAAGATATAACAGATGTAATCCAGTACATCTTCAGAGCAGCTTGCTACGTATGGCTAGAGAATCACAGAACAAGAAGTGGAAGAGTCTATTTAGACCATCAATCAACCCCCTGCTCAATGCAGGAATCCCAATTAAAGCATCCTAGGCAGATGACTGTCTTTCTGCTTCAACATTCAAAAAAGGAGAGCCTACCACCTCTTTGAATAACTTGTTCCACTGTCAAACTGTTTTTACCATTTGAACATCTTCTTTAACATTCAATCCGAACCTATCTTTCTAGGATTTAAATCTATTCTTCCATGTCCTGCACTCTGGAATGGGAAAGAACAGGCCTTGACCTTCTATGTGACATTCTTTCAGGTATTTGAAGAATGCTATCATATGCCCTCTCAAGCATTTTTTCTTAAGGTTAAACTTCCCCAGCCTCTTCAAACTCTCTTCCAGCCTCTTCCAAGACTGGAAACTTGGTTTCTAGTCCCCTGATCATTCTTGTTGTCCTTCTCTGAACCCAGATCCGTAAGATATGGTGACTGAAAATGGCATAGTACTTGAAATGGGGTCTGAGCAAAGCAGAATAAATATTATTACTTTCTGTAATTTGGAAATTATACTTTTATTAATGCAACCAAATACTGTATTTGCCTTTTCGGTAGCCTGCTGACTAGTATTTAATTTGTAATCAACTGCTATTCCATTTTTTCCACAAATACTTTTACTAAGCCAAGTATCCCCCATCCTATATTTGTGCATTTGATATTTGTTTACTAAGTTAAGAACCCTGCACTTGTCTTTTAAGTTAAGAACTTTGCACTTGTCTTTGTTACATTCATTCTATTACTTTCAATAAGGTTTTTAATTTTATTTCTGTCTTCTAGGTATTAACTATCCCCCTCAATTTTGTATCATCTGCAGATTTAATAAGTATTCCCTTCACTTTTTCATCCAAGTCATTATTGAAAATACTGAACTGTAGAAGATCCAGGACTGATTCCTTCCTCTAATTTGATCAGGAGCAATTGATGAACATGCCTGCAATCTGATTTCTGAACCAGCTATGTATCAACTTAATTGTCGTGCCATCCAACCCATACTTAACCAGGTTGCTAATCAGCATGTCAAATGCTTTTGCTGAAGTCAAGATATATTACAGGTAGTCCTTCAAGTTACAATGGCAGTTGGGACCAGAATCTCTGTTACTAAGCAATGCATCGTAAAGCACGAAATCATGTGACCATTGCTTAGTGATGGGAATCCCTGCAGTCCCCATTGCTGTCATTGAGTGAGGCTTGTGGGTTGTTAAGTAAGCACCTCCTCGCAATTTCCTGCCAGCTTCCAACAACCAAAGACAATGGGGAAGCGGGCAGGAAGTTGCCAGTCCCAGGTAGCTTGCAAGCAGGCCAGCAGGTAGGTAAGTGGCTGCTGCTGGGTGAGAGAGGGTGCATGAGTGGCCAGGGAGGGTGCATGACTTCCCTGCTGGCTTCCCTATTGACTTTGCTTGTGGGAAACTGGAAGGAAAAGTCACAAATTGCGATCATGTGAACATGGAACACTGCAACCATCATAAGTGCAAGTCAGTTGCCAAGCATCCAGATCATGATCACATGACTGCGGGGGTATTGAGACAGCCGGAACTTCAAGGACCAGTCATAACCACTACTCATTCGGTGTCATCGTAACTTTGAACAGTCACTGAACAAGTGGTCGTTAACCAAGGACTACCTGTATGTCTACAGCAAGAATATGCAATATCTTCCATGCATGAACCGTTCCATGCATAGGACAGCTAGCTCTGGATGGTCTGTACCCAAACCAAACCATGCATGTTTCAGATATTTTGATCTATATACAGATCAAAAGGGGCTGAAAAGATCAGAAGGCAGACAGGTCAGCACACAAACCATGCAGAGGAGGAGCGAAAAGAGGGGATGAAATGCACCAAATTTCCCTGATTTGCCTTATAAAATCACTCTGGATCCCTCCAGTTTTTGTCTTAGCTGAAACCCAACTACCAAAGTATTCTGGGTTTTGTTTTTGCCAAAGTGTGGCTGACCAAACTTCCAGAATGGGAGAGTTTATATCAGGTTTAAAACAAACTATATTTTCCATTTCATGCACATCCTTAGCCTACAGCATTCCCACAATCTATTAAGGAATTTGCCCATCAAAAAAAGATGTATCATCTTGACAAATCCATGCTGACTTTTGATCATCGCATTGTTTTCAAGGTGCTGACAGACCTTAATGATTTGTTCTAGAATCTCTGCCAGGTACTGATGTCAGACCAATTGGTCTGTAGTTTGCTGGATCTTTTGCTTTCTGCATCTTCTGTTTTCTGCTTTTGGAAAATAGAGGCAAATTTGCTTTCCTCCAATCATTCAGGATTTTTAAAAAAATAATACATAACGTTTTGACTGTATCATCAGCTAGTTCCTTCAGAACCCTGCAATTAAACTGTTACTAGAGATTTAAACTTATTAAAGATGAATTCCATGATTGTGTTTTTATCAACCTCAAGGTTTACTCCTGCCACTTCCTCCTGCTCTTCACAATTCCAGGTGCAACACATTTTTTTTAAAATTGGAGAAGAGTGAAGGAAAACAGAATTTGAGTAACTGCACCTTTTCATGGTTAGCAGTCTGCTAACACTGAATATATACTGATACTTTTCTTTTTATTTTGAATATATCTCAATAAGCTCTTTTTGTTATGCTTAGGATTCTTTGCTAACCTCAGCTTATTCTAAGCTTTCACTTTCCTGACACTAGCTCTATAGTTCCAGTCCACTGTCTGTATTGTTTATTTGGGATCTGTATTTATCCTTTTTATTCTTCCCAACCCAACAAAAGGTTGGAAAGAAATTGTGTAAAGAATCTTGGGACAATGTCTGTTTCTCTGGAAGTCAGCAGGATAACTCTCTGAAACCTGAACAGAACAGGACCAATATTACATTATGACTTACATTATGACATATGAACCAACTGTGTGACTGACCAGCATAATCTTCTCCAAGTGTGTATCTACTGCAGGTATCTAACTATTGTGCACTGAAGTTTCTTAAAAGACATTAGACTCACAAGGCCATATTCCAATACCTTCAAGGCAATTCTTACTTGATTTTTTTAAAAAGTAAATTAAAACCTAGGAGGAGAGAAAGACAGAGAATGCACTTTAAATAATAAACACATAATACATAACAAGCAAATATATTATGCTTAACCTTTATCCTTTCTATAGATGCTTCTATTCGCAACTGCTGAACAGTTCTTCTTGCTTGAGCTATGTTGTTTGTTGTGCCAGACGTTTTGCTAGACATTCTCAGTGAACTCTTCCAAGCACTGTTAAAAAAAAGACAATGGGTTTGTTTTTCTGGCTAAAAATCATAATTAATCAACAGGAAAAACTGTTCAGAATATTTTACGTCTTCCAATGCAACAGTAACTAAGCTGTCACAACAGAAGAAGAAAATAATTTTGTAATAGTAAAGTTGGTAAAATATTGGGAACAATGAGTTTATAAACATAGAAATCTTTTATTTTAAAGCACCCTAGGAATCCCAGTTCATATCCATGAATAATCTTGTTCTTTTTTCAAACATTTTATAAATGGAACCAATAGAATTGATATTTTTCAAAAGACATACAGTGTATTATTATTCATCACCATATGAAAGTAATAAGATACCCCAAAAAGTCATCTTCTTACTGAATGTTATACATTCTGCAACATCTTTGATGTTCAAAGCACTTGTCTATTCTTCTGCAGTTGGTATCTTGAGAATTTTGGTTCTAAGTATTCGAGGTTTATACCCATCAGATCATCTGCTAAATATACCGAGTGGGCAACTAGGAAGAGGAATAGATCAAAACCATCATGGGCTTAATTCAGATTGGCCTGTGAGAGCATGTGGCTCAACAGCAACTCTATCTGCTAATGGGCACAATATTTACAGCCTCCCAAATGTATCCTCCAGACCTAAAACACTTAGCAGGCTTATCATCTGTTCTCCTTTCACATGCTTGGAATGAAGGTGGCTTATTGTACCTCATTTTTTCCAAATTTTCCTCATCTATTCAACTTTCAGCAGTTCAGTTTCATCAGAGTTAAATTAATGTGATAATTCATTGGAGTTTATTTTCTGGACTCCCAAAAGAGATCATTACTCCAAATATATAGGCAATAATACAGTTCAAAATATTCTCTTATTTCTTCTAAATTTGCACCTCCAAAAATCTGAAATAATGCAAGGTTATCACTTGGCTTCTTAAATAAATCAAATTACCTAATCAAAGCAACATAAAGTGTATTTAAGAAGATCACATTCACTTTCTTTGCCCAATCCAAATGACATTGTTTATCATGTTTGGCACTGATTGCATTCTACATCCGAGTATGACAGTTCAAAGCTGAGTCACAGGCCTTAACATCCTACTATTGGATGTGTTCCAATGATCTGCAGAGACTCTGATCATCATGTTCAGCCAACGACTGACCATAATAGCACAAAATGGCTTTGCTGGAATGGCTTTTTAACCTCTGAGAAGCCACGTGAATCACTAAAATACCACTCCTGAGTAGATTTCAAGGTTATGCCTGAAAAGTACCAAAACTGAAATGCTTTACTCATAGTTCTGTGCACAGACATATTATTGCAGCCTAATTCTGTAAAGGAGTTAAAGATCATTATGTATAAATAAGCAGATAAACAGAATGAAACTGTAATGTAATCTGATTTTGATCATAAAAACACCACCACCAGTACAATACTGTAAACAATGCTGCTAAAACATAAAACAGAACAAATAAATCATCAGTCTGAGATTCAGATCCAGCTAGTATTTTAATGACTTTCCAAAGTTTACATCAAAGAGCCTGCCACAAAAAGTCCTTGATACACTATTTAAAATAGTGCAAACTGTGACATACATTGTCCAATAATGCCCTCTACTACACTGAATATTATAAAGCAGCCTACAGAGATAGAGACTTCCAAAGCTACATCTATCTCAGGACACAAAAGAACTGGTACCTAAGATCATTAATGATCTGAGTTTAATAAACTGAAATGTAGGGCTTAGTAAAATTGCTGATACAAGCAATATTAATTCACACATTGAGAATCAATCTGCATTCTATGAAACATATCACTTTTAATAAAAGAAAAATGAATCCAGAACTAAATATTAATATAGGAGACAGCTGATAAAAATGTCTCTGCATACACGCTGCAAGCAAATTAAAAGCAATTCCTTCTATATTTAATCCTAAGGTCTTGATCACCCAGTAGCCAGCATCTTAAATAAGCATCACTGCCTTCTTCACCCTTGATATAAGTCATCACACGCTCTCTTGGGCTTAACAGTTGTTGAGCCATTCAGTGCCTATATTAGTCAATGTATTAATATACTAGGAGAACCAGTTTGGAATAGTGGTTAAGGTACCAGGCTATAACCTGGGAGACTATGAGTTCTAGTCCCCATTTAATGTTTTAACAGTTCCCAGTTCTCACAGCTCAGAACACAAAAAGACAGTAATCCAGACAACTTAAATTCCCATTTTCAATCAGTGAGCTGAATAAGCTTGAGTTCCAAATTACATTTTATTTTTAAATGCTATATGATTCCTGAGTCTATGAGCAAGATTTTAGGAGATGATTAGAATTCTAAATATTAGCCATATTAACACTGGCCCCAAAATAACTTCATTTACTTATTTATTGCTCCAATCTGTACAACTCTGTTCGATGATTTGGCAGATATCAAAGTCACAGCGTCCATAATATTCACTGGAAGTGTGTACATATTTTGTACTTGCGAACAAAATCAGGCTTCATAAGCAATATTTCAGGTAAGTATACTATCAGTATAATTTATTAGAAATAAGCATCTAGTCGGAAGTCACCCAAAACCTGGAGTAAAAAACAAACAAACAAACAAAAACTTCTGCAATGTAGGTACATATCCAGTGAATTAGATCCCAGCAAAGCTTTGTGCCAATTGCAGATTACATCATCAGTCAAGCATCCTGGCAGACATTTCAGTTCTTGCTTTGTCTAGCAAATAAATCTTGGGTGGTACATGAGATGAGTAGAAACGCAGCAAATGACAGGAATTTATTTCCAGGGCAAAACCTAGTTGCAATTTCTGTTTTTTGTTAGGAAGCATAATATAAAATCTTATTTACTTAACGTGCTTACTTTAGAAAACCAATAAAAGTGCTTCTCGCCTCAAAGGACAAAATCAACATCTTAATGAAACTGCTGGGGCAACCACAATGCTGGCAGGAGCATTATGCTCGTCATACAATGACACAGACCAGGGACGGTGCTCATCATGCTGGTAGTTTCAAGCAACTCCACGGACTTCAGCAGTAAACTCTCAGCAGGTTAAGTATCATTCCCAAGCATGGGAAAACTGGTTTGCAGTGCAGCTAAGCTTCTTGGGGTAAATAATACCAGCTATGCATGCATGGAGATGGTTGGCCAGAGGTGGCATACATTTTTATTCTAGTATACAACAGCTGTGACAATATCAGATAGCTAAACAATTTGATGTCTAAATCTTTGTCCAATCACTAGTTGGGTTATAAATCTTTGTCCAATCACTAGTTGGGTTAGCTAATAATTAGCAGAAAATTTGCTTGAGAAGAATTTTCCAAGGGTAATTTGCTAGCAATTTGGTGACTAAAAAACTAACTAATTTTATATTTGTGTATGTGTTTGGTTTTTATTCTATTTTTATTCTATTTTTATTGTTTTTATTGCATTTTAATATTTATTGCTGTTTTATTGTGAACCACCCAGAGTCACTTTTTGTGAGATGGGCGGTATCTAAATTTGAAATATAAATAAATATAAAATAAATAAATATTTTTCATTTGTTGCATTTATAGTAAGTCTCTTCTGGAACAAAAGGCAGCATATATAATAACTACCTCTGCATTTTTATACTTACAGGAACCTTGAGAGTTATTTCAGGCTGAGAAACAGCAATTGCCCAGAAGTCATTTAGGGAGCTTCATGCTGAATTTAAACCTCTATTTCTCCATTCCAGTACAACCACTCTTGTAAAACTTGCCAGGTTGCTTGAAATTTGCAGCAAGTGACACAAAATAGGCTAACGCATTGATACCATGTTAATACAAACCTGAAATATGAATGGATGAAGCACTGAATGGCTTGTTTGCAGCAGGGCAAGTGGACCCTTATCTGCTGAAGGGAGCTCGCCAGGTCCTCCTCGAGGACGCAGCAGGATGGAACCAGCAGTTTACACAGGCAGGAGAAGCATGAGGTCCTCACCTAATAACAGTGTGGTCCTCACCTAATGACTGCAACTGAGACCACCAGAACTGCTGTCAATAAGCAGTGTGGTCATGTGCTGTTTCACTTAATGACCATGTCACTTTGCAATGGAAATTCCGGTCCCAATTAGGGTCATTAAGTGAGGACTACCTGTATAACAAAATGTTGCAAAGGGAAGTATTCCTATTCACAGTATATTGCAACAGGATTGCAACTAGCCTGGTCACCCTACCTCCAAGATATTTCATACCACTCTATTTCTCTCCTCATAACAATCTGTGAATATATTTTGTGCTTCCTCTGTCATATGTGGGTTTTCTTGGTGTTTTTCTTCTTCATATGCATTTTCCATAATATACATGCACACACTCTTCTGCAAAATGTGGGTCTTTCTGAACCTGATATCTTCCCTCTGTGTGTTGATTCTGCTGTTCGGTTACATAAAGTTCAGTGTTTGGTAAATCAGTTTATTGTTGTTTTGTTGTTATTTAGGATTAACTATGTACCTGGTCTTTAACACTAACAGTTTATATCAACTTGAAGCTTCTGTGAAATAGCACAGTATTGGGAGCATAATTATCAGTCACTGAAGGATATATGATATTCTCTATAAAACATGGAAAGGAGGGAAATATTAAAAATGCGTGCATCTGAGATGTATTGAAGTACAGTTTTCATAACTCCCAGGCAGCATGGACCACAGTCAGGGATTATGGGAGCTGGGGCCATCACATTGCTTAGCTTTGTTTTAGATGCTTCATTGACTGTGTATGCCAAATCTTTGATTACCATAGAATCAGAACTGCACGCAGTTCACAGACTGAACAAAACCCCCAACAACCTATAACAAGATCACATTTCCTATTGTGAAATTAAATAAATAAAAGTCTGGCTACTGGATGCCTTATTCAAGAATGTGTGCGTAATCACTATGGTCTTCAAAAGACTGTTTACCAGAATTTACACTGCCCACTGCCAGAACCCTCCTTGATACCTCAAGGGCAGCCTCTAAACTGACATGTTTACAGCTCTACCAGT